GCTGTGGGCCGGAGGGAGGCGGGGAGGGGCCTGGCCAGTGTCTGGCCTGGAGGCAGAGCAGGTGTGCACCCAGCTGGGCAGATCGCAACTCGATCGCCTTGCGGTTTTAGAGAGATTTTAACTGTTTGCCTTGGCTCGTGCTGAGCAGATAAACTCTACGCAGGGGACAACCACACTCCAGGCACAGGCCCCGCTGTTCCCGGAAGCTCTCAGGGCCGTTGTCTGGAGGTGCTTGTGCAACCGCTGAGGAGCCCACGAGCACCTCCAGGGCCGTATCGCATCGCTGATCCCACGCTCCTGGGAGCTCAAGGTCGCATCTGTAAGCTGCAGAGGGAAGTGCACACTCGGGGCAGAGGTGGCACGAGCACAGGTGGGGGGCCGGGGGCGGGCGCAGCTGGAGCAGGGCCAGGCCGGCCCGAGACAACAGCTACTGGCCTGTGGCGTCTGCAAGGCCCCCGTGCCTCTCAAATCCCCTCGATGCCAGCAGCTCAGGAAACACCCGAGACCCTGGCGCGCTTACCCTGGAGGAGCGGGCAGCGGGCAGCAGTGACGGGCGTTGTTTTCCACTCACTCACTCTGACCACTTCTGAGTGCCCGCTGCTGGGCCCGCGGTGCGGGGAGCGGGCTCCGCGTGTCACCCCGAGTGCCCTCAGTGCGCAGGGTTGGCAGGGAGTCAGGACAGGGCAGAGCAAGGAGAGGGCTGAGCCCTCCTATCGAAGGCCCAGCTCAGGGTAATGAATCACCCGTTTTGGTCGGTTTCGCGCTGGGACTTCATTTCTTAGGGGGATGGGAGGAGGGGGCGGGACAAGAGGTGACGCTGACCTTCCTGCCCAGGGATCTGTTCAGGGCTGTTTCCAACTCAACATCGAGTCGTTACCAAGGTGTTGTCTTGGAATCGCTGGATTTCAGGGAGCTTTTCCCCAGTTCCCAGCAATCTTTAAACTCACTGTCCCAAACTGGGCGTTGTCTCCATCCCCCCACTCCCCCGCCCCACACACACGTCTATTCTAAATCCTTTAAAAAACATATTTTTTGATTGATTTCAGAGAGGGAGAGGGAGAGAGAGACAGAAACATCAATGATGAGAGAGAATCATCAATCAGCTGCCTCCTGCACGCCCCCTACTGGGGATGGAGCCCACAACCCGGGCCTGTGCCCTGACTGGAATCGAACCCGGGACCTTCAGCCCACAGGTTCGATCCACTGAACCACACCAGCAGGGCGAGAAAGCCCCATGCGTTTTCCACATACGCTTGGCACAGCCCCTCTCCCTCCCCGAGCGCCCGCCTGCTCGGTGCTGATCAGCTGGAGAAAAGCACCTCTTCCCTCTGGCACGTAACAAAGCTGCATCGCCCTGACCGGTGTGGCTCAGTGGCTAGAGCGTCGGCCTGCGGACTGAAGGGTCCTGGGTTCGATTCCGATCAAGGGCATGTACCTTGGTTGCGGGCACATCCCCAGTAGGAGGTGTGCAGGAGGCAGCTGATCGATGTTTCTCTCATCCATGTTTCTGAATCTCTATCCCTCTTCCTTCCTCTCTGTAAAAAATCAATAAAACATATTTAAAAAAAAACCACCAAAAAATCGATGTTGCATCTATTGCCTGAACCTGTGGCGGGAATATTGAAAGAGGAACTGTCCCGGTTTCTTGGGGATGGATACACGGGAAACGCTCTAATCGGACGCTGAGCATCCGCATTGTCCTCTCTTCTGGGTGTAAGACCCCCAGTGCAGAGCCTGTCGCGTCTAATGACAGTTCACCCTGACTTTGCAGCTTCTCGCGGAGGCTTCCAAGTCGCTTACGAACATCATCCCATTAAATCTCCCCAGTGAATCCCCCCCTTCGTCTGTGAGAGCCAGGGCAGCAGCCGGAGGGATGCAAAGCTGCCACATTCACAGCGTCAGGACACGGGGACTCGGGGCCGGAGCCACGCAGACCTTCGGCCCTAAGTCACACTCCTGCGCTCACTCATCATCAGACGTGTAAACGCCAACAAGGCCCCGGCCCCAGAGGACGCAGGAGACCGCTTCGGCGGTTCTCAACCTTCCTCACGCCGCGACCCTTTAATACAGTTCCTCATGTTGTGGTGACCCCCAATTTCATTGTTACAGATTGAACATAATTAAAGCACAGTGATGAATCACAAAACAATATGTAATTATATATGTGTTTTCCGATGGTCTTAGGCGACCCCTGTGAAAGGGTCGTTCGACCCCCAAAGGGGTCGCGGCCCACAGGTTGAGAACCGCTGGCTTAGATCCTTCTGCATACCCTCGCGTGTCCTAGCAAACAGGTCTGAGTAGCTACTCACTTACCTGCAGAGTAAAAGGAGAGCTTGAGTATGAACTTCACAATCAAACGTTATTCTGTGGGTGGTGATTAGGTTTGTCTTTACAGTGAATAAAAATCTTATCCAAACTATTTGTTGTTCAAGAGTATTCCCGAGCTTTTGTCTGTTCGTGTAAGTGGAAAGCTAAGTAACAGAGGACTTTACCATTTCCCCCTCAAGTCACAAAATAATGATAAAAGTAATCGAAATTATGTGGACAGCTTGAATTAGTGTCGTTCCAACTTAAACTAAAACGTCCCTAAGAGGACTAGATGTGGAGTACAGACTAAGGCTAAGATTACCGAACTGATAATTCTTTAGAAATAAAAGGAGAGAGATGTTCAGGTTAGGAGACTTCATGAATCAAATCTAGATAATTCCATGTCACGTCAACTGTTTCAGGCGAAGGTATTCTTTTGTGGTACATTTTTCAACGCCTTCAGCAGCAGGAAAGACATCGTGACCGTAATTCAGTACCTCCACTGCCCCATGTCAGCGTGCGGGCCAGAGAGCACGTCGAAACCCTGAGGTAGCCCGGCCAGCCCTCCTCCTTCTTTTAAAAAAAATATTGATTTTTTGGAGCCCTGACTGGGATTGAACCCAGGACCCTACAGGGGTTCAAAAAATCGATATTTTATTGATTTCAGAGAGAGGAGGGGAGAGGGAGAGGACAGAGGAGCATCCGGATGAGAGAGAATCACTGATTGGCTGCCTCCTCCATGCCCCCCACTGGGGATCGAACCCGCAACCGGGCACGTTCATGGGTCCACGCTCAACCACTGAGCCACGCCGGCTGGACCAAGTGCTCCTTCTGTTCCCATCTCTCTCCAGAACCCTAAGAACAGAGCCACCCTCTTACAGAGCAGCGCATGGGCCAGTGCCTCGCCCACAGAACAGAACCCACAGAACACCCTTGACCCAGCGCCCCCAAACCCGCAAGCACGGCTAAGCACTTGGTGACCGTCACAGCAACGTCTCCCTCTGTGGCTGGATTGCATCCAACACGGGAAAGGCCCTCATGGTCTGGATTTCATTCTAAGCTTCCCCACAGGGGGTTGGGGGGCTCTGGGGGCACCCACACTTGCCCTGTCCTCCCAGGGACAGGCAGGAGCAAGGGGCTCGGGCACCCACGGCTGTACCTGTTTCGAGTAGAAAAACTCCAGGCAGGAGCAGCAGCCCCAGGAGCGGGGCCAGGCAGCCCATGTCGGGAGGTGTCCAGCTGCTGCAGGACGGGCAGGGCGGCCTTATATGCTCCTGGGCTCCCTGGGCGGCCGTGCAACTCGATGCCCTTGGCCGGGATTGGACGGGCGGTGCACTCCCTGCGGGAGAAGGTGGTGCTACCTGCTGGAGGCCCGCTCGGAGCGGAGTGGGTGGGAGGTGCGGCCGGAGGGGTGGGAGGCAGGTGGTGAGCTGGTCCCGGCTGGGCAGGGGGGACCCCGAGTTCCAGGAGCCCTGGGTGTCCCTGACGCCCCGTTTCCTCCCGCCCGCGGCACTGCCTCGGGGAAGAAGCGGCTGGAGTGGACTCATCTTTCAATACCCACGCCCGCCTGTCCTTTGTCCTCGAAGTTTCTCCTCATTCCCAACCACATTCCCGAGTTCCCGCCGCCCCCACTGGCTGCAGGACGGGCAGGGCGGCCTTATATGCTCCTGGGCTCCCTGGGCGGCCGTGCAACTCGATGCCCTTGGCCGGGATTGGACGGGCGGTGCACTCACTGCGGGAGAAGGTGGTGCTATCTGCTGGAGGCCAGCTGGGAGCGGAGTGGGTGGGAGGTGCAGCCGGAGGGGTGGGAGGCAGGTGGTGAGCTGATCCCGGCTGGGCAGGGGGGACCCCGAGTTCCAGGAGCCCTGGATGTCCCTGACGCCCCGTTTCCTCCCGCCCGTGGCACTGCCTCAGGGAAGAAGCGGCTGGAGTGGACTCCTCTTTCAATACCCACGCCCGCCTGTCCTTCGTCCTCGAAGTTTCTCCTCGTTCCCAACCGCATTCCCGAGTTCCCGCCGCCCCCACTGGCCCTCTCTGTGAACCCCGAGCCTTAATGGTAGTTCACGGCGTCTGAGTCTATTTCCCCCACTAGCTTGTCGCCCTTTGAGGGATGGGCGTCCCTTGAGCTGCTCGCTAGGCCTGCGGGTGGCCTCGCTCCCTTAGCGCGAGGCCTGGGACTGCACATCCGCGGACGAGCCCTGAGGGACGCACCCATACCTGAAGCTCGTTAGACGAGCGCACCCCCAGCACCCACTTTATTTCGCACTTGGCTTCCAGGAGCAAGTCAGCCCGTGGCCTGAGGTCTCCCCTCTGCTCGGAGCCCCGATGCGAGGTTTCCGACAGAGCACACGCCTCCCAGGCAGGTGTTACCCTAACCCCAGCGAACGTGACGGGCGAGGGCAGGGGGTACACAGACGCGGGCGCCAGGATTGTGGAAAGATGTGGAAAGGAAGTGCTTTCCAACTGAATACTCCATCTGCTCTTACCTGTAAAGACCACTCTGCTCAGTGGTTAGCGTTTCGGCCTGCGGACTGAAAGGTCCCGGGTTTGACTCTGGTCAAGGGCACGCACCTCGGTGGCAGGCTCGATCCCGGGCCCTGGTCGGGGTGCGTGTGGGAGGCAAGCGATCAATGCGTCTCTTCACATCGCTGTGTCTCTCTCTGTGTCTCTCCCCCTCCCGTCCACTCTCTCTAAAAACCAATGGGAAGTGTCCTCGGGGGAGGATTGACCAAAGGCCACTCTGCAGGTTGGGGAACCCACCGTGTCGGTCACCACGACCTGCAGGAATGGCTTCTGGCTCCTCGAGTGTGTAGACACCCAAGGTCAGCCAGGCCCACTCTGCTCACGATGGGCAAGTGCGACCCAGGGCAGGAGGGCTGGAGGCGGCCTGCAGCTCGAAGGGCCGGGGTCCTGTTTCCTCCGCTGTGACCCAGGGAGCGCACTTCATCTCACCAGCTTCGCTTCCTCATCCCCAAAGGGGGAGACAGTACGACCCCCCGCCGCCCCCTGCTTACTTCAGAGGGGTACTGGGCGGAGTCATTAAAAGTAGGCGTCTTGTCCTGTCCACTCTCTCTAAAAACCAATGGGAAGTGTCCAAAGGCCACTCTGCAGGTTGGGGAACCCACCGTGTCTGTCACCACGACCTGCAGGAATGGCTTCTGGCTCCTCGTGTGTGTAGACACCCAAGGTGAGCCAGGCCCACTCTGCTCACGATGGGCAAGCGCGACCCGGGGCAGGAGGGCTGGAGGCGGCCTGCAGCTCGAAGGGCCGGGGTCCTGTTTCCTCCGCTGTGACCCAGGGAGCGCACTTCATCTCACCAGCTTCGCTTCCTCATCCCCAAAGGGGGAGACAGTACGACCCCCCGCCGCCCCCTGCTTACTTCAGAGGGGTACTGGGCGGAGTCATTAAAAGTAGGCGTCTGCAGGAGACTTGTACATTTCCTGAGCAAGATGCTTCTTTCTCAATAGATGTCCCTGTGACAGAGGTTTTGAGCTTTTCTTTCCTTTTAAAATATGTTTTTACTGATTTCAGAGAGGAAGGGAGAGAGAGATAGAAGCACCAATGATGAGAGAGAATCATGGATCGGCTGCCTCCTGCACGTCTCACCAAAAAATCAATAAAATATATTAAAAAAAAAGTAGGCGTCTGCAGGAGACTTGTACATTTCACGAGCAAGATGCTTCTTTCTCAATAGATGTCCCTGTGACAGAGGTTTTGAGCTTTTCTTTTCTTTTAAAATATGTTTTTACTGATTTCAGAGAGGAAGGGAGAGATAGATAGAAGCATCAATGATGAGAGAGAATCATGGATCGGCCGCCTCCTGCACGTCTCACACTGGGGATCGACCCCGCAACCCAGGCCTGTGCCTTGACCGGGAATCCAACTGTGACCTCCTGGTTCAGAGGTCGATGCTCAACCCCTGAGCCACACTGGCCGGGCGGTTTTGAGCTTTTCTAACAGTCTCATTGTCATTAATCATAACCCAGGTGAATTTAGCCAAGGCAGGAAGAGAGAGGCACCCAGGGAGAGAGCGTGGCACAGACAGAAGAAACGGAGCTGGGCCGAGCGTTCACAGCCAGACTGGGTGTGTTTGCTTTTCTGTAACTCGTCTCCCCGCGGAAGCCCCTCTGTCTAGGGCAGAGGGTACCATGCAGCTGAAGTGAAGTTTCTGTACGTGGAGTCAAGTACAATAACAGTCATGCAAGTCCTTACATCTGCCCAGCACTTACTACCACTGAGGGTTCCACATTCGTTCTTTCTTCTTTTTCAAAATCTCTTTGGTATCTAATGGTGCCTATTGGATGCACTGACACCCGACTGACTGGGGCGCTCGCACTGTGGTCAGGCCAGAGCCTCCGACTAGACCAGTGGTCGGCAAACTCATTAGCCAACGGAGCCAAATACCAACAGCACAACGATTGACATTTCTTTTGAGAGCCACATTTTTTAAACTTAAACTATATAGGTAGGTACATTGTTATTAACTTAATTAGGGTGCTCCTAAGGCTTAGGAAGAGCCACACTCAAGGGGCCAACGAGCCGCATGTGGCTCGCGAGCCGCAGGTTGCTGACCACGGGACTAAGCCAAATGCATGTGCTCCCTTCCTAGGTCGCCAGTGGCAGCCGCCGGTCAGCGTTACAACACGTTTTGTGGGCTAATTCATTTTCTTGGACATTATTTCATTTTAATTCTTGTCATCGTCCTGTGAGTTAGCAGAACATAAGGCTTATCTCCGCTTTATAGGCGGGAAACTGACTCGGGGAGAAATGGACCCTCCCCCCTAACCCCCCGCCCGAGGTCAGCTGGGGAGGGAATGAGCTGCAGGCCAAGGGCTCGGGCTGCCTCTGCGCATGCTCTCTGTCTCTGTCCTTCAAAAGCCATGTGAGCCCGGCCTACGTGGCTTGTGGTTGAGCATCGACCTATGAGCCAGGAGGTCACGGTTCAATTCCTGGTCAGGGCACAGGCCTGGGTTGCAGGCTCATGCCAAGTAGGG